TCAATATAATATTTCTTTTTTATCTCTGGTAATCATAAAAACATACTTATGCCTTTAGAAATTATGAATGAAACAGAAAAGATTGTTATAATATGCATCAGATAATACATTATATATATATATATATAAAACATTTAAAAAAAATTATTTAAACCTCCATATCCCTTCAACACTGCCTGCCTTCCAGTTCTTTCGATTCTTTCCTGTATGATGGAATAAGGTAGGTTTGTTTCAAGAGTAACAGTACCACGTTCTAACGATATATCAACATTCTGGATGTCCTCTATATCTGCTATACTCTTAGAAATTGCATTAACGCATTTCTCGCAGGTCATATGTACCGCGAATTCGATCTGTAGAAGTAACATATTATAAATTTGACAATATTTTATTTTTTTCTGCCAATAATGAGATAAAAGTTAATTTACTTACTTTTGTTGAAGCCATTTGCACGCAGTATTCTTATATCAACGTTGACCAACGTAATAAACAATGATAAAGTAAATTTCTTTATATAATTATACGATTATCGAGTCATGTTTCGTATTCAGTGTATCTTTTATCTCTTTCTTTCTAATTTGTTACTAATAATCTAAGTGCTTTTCTAGCAGCAAGATCTCCAACAATTTGTTATTTAGCACATCAGGGTCTGTTGACGTTACTTGAAATTCCTAAAAATTTTGCACTTAAAATGAGATAGACAAATAAATCATACGGTCAAAATTGACAAATATCAATTAGTGTTAATTTTGATTCTTTTTATCATTGATGATTGAAATGGCTGGCTTGAGCGGCTCGTGGAAATGTACCTTAATATCAAAAGAACTGAAGTCACGAGCTCGGATATCTGCCGTTGGTGGCGTTGCTTTTCCAAGCCTTCTGTTTCTCTCGCGTACTATCCAATCTCTCGTCTTACCTAACTCCGAAACTGCATACACTTCACGAAGTAATTGACGATAATTCGCACACGCGTCAGCTACGTTACGACAAAAGTACGTTATACGCACCAATACGCACGACTAGTTTGTGGTTAGCGTACATATATACATATATATACATATTTATATACATTTCGTGTGTACATAACAAGCGGATTGAGTTTGAAAAAAAGATTTCTGCGACATTCCCGGCGGTCCCGCGCGAATAATCTCGTGCTTCGGACATCGCGGGAACATATTTGGGAAATACGACGAAGATGGACGTATCACGCTCCTTTGAGATATTTCCAGGTAGCTCTTCGCAATAGCGCGACGTGACGGAAGATTACTCTCCTCGATTACCGGTCTTTTTCGGTGAAAGCTCTTTAACGTCGAGACGATTCGTGAGTTGTCGCTTCGAAAATGTCCGTGACCTTTGCACAACGCGGCAGGCCATCTCCAAATCCTGCCCAGATACAAAAGGTAAAGGAGTTCATTGCAGCTTTGCAAAAAAAGTTATGGCTATTACTACTAGGCCATTTATAACTGACAGCTGAAACATGTTTAAAGTTGTAAGTATAACTATGTACATGTATGTGTTTATCACGTTTTTTTTAGATGCTTGATGAGAATAGCCAGCTTATACAAATGATTCAAGAGTATCAAAACAAGGGCAAAGCACAGGAATGCGTACAGTAAGTGATGAGTGCAATGATTTTGTTTCTTAATATTTCAATGTGTATTATATGTCTCTTTTTCGATTTTATTGAGAAATGTTTCTTGTGAAGTGACATTGTGTAACAAGAATAAAAAAAATTTTTTTTTTTTTTAGATGACAGTCTTAATCTCATAGTTACTTTTTGTTATATATCAAGTGTCAAATGTACATCTAAGAGGATTGTTTAATAACTTTTGTTAAGTCAATTTATAAACTTATTAATTTTAATTTTCAGGTACCAGCAAATGCTACATCGCAATTTGGTATATTTAGCGTCTATCGCTGATGTAAACCAGAATCTTCAGACTTTATTACCTGTAAGTAGCAGATCTAATAGAATAAACAACATAAAACATAATAAAGTACACTTAATTCAAGACAAAAAATTTTAAATTGAATAACATTTTCATAAAGAGTTACAAAATTGAATTATCTTTTGGTTTCAAGCTACCTCAAGGTATTCCTAATGGTCCTCAACATGGTATGATGACTCCACAAGGGCTTCCAAGTGGTCCAGGTGGTGCAACTGGTCCTGGAGGAGAAATGCCACCAAATACGCAGCCAACAATGCCAATGTCGACGTTTAATCAAGGTCAACCAATGGCGCAAGGTTATCGTGGGCCTGTAATGCCTGGCCAAGGTCCTACTATAAATAGTATGTTATATTCCAATTTGAATTTTCTATTGAGAGAAATCTTATTCTAATTTAAATTTATATTAAATTATAATTACATGTCAATTTAATCTGAAGCATAATTATAACTTTACTAACTCTACAGATTATTAGACATTTTAATCTTTTAATATTTGTAGGACCTCCAACTGCACCAGGTCCACAACAATATAGAGGTCCACAAGGTTATCCTCAGCAACCTTCTCAACAAGGTTATCCTGCTCAATATACTGGTCAGAATCCTGGTTCAAACTACCAAGGTCCACAAGGATCTGCATACACTCCGGGTCAACCAAACCAATATGGACCGCCAAACGCTTCTCAACAGCAAGGATATAATGCAGCGACGCAGCCAAATTATGGTCCTCCAACTACAGTAAACAGTTATGGTCCACAACCAGGCGGTTATCCACCACCAGGCACAGCTCAGCCACCTTCAGGATATGGACCACCGCCGCCAAATCAACAAGGCTATCCACCTTCAAATGCCTCACAACAGAATTTCTCATCAGGTAGTCAACAACAACAACCAGGACAATATGGCAGTCCTAGTCCACAACCAAATTATCAGCAGCCTCCGTCCCAAGCGCCACCTCAAAACGCATATGCTGCTGGACAACCTGGAAGTTATCCCCCTCCTTCCTCACAGACGTATGCGAACAATGTCCCACCGCAAAATTACCCACCACCTCCGACAACTAGCGCGACTCAACCTCCGCAACCTGGATCGCAGCAAAACACGGGTCCGCAGCCCAATTATGTTAGCCAACCAAGTCCAGGTCCTGGCGCGACGCAGTATGGTCCCGCCTCTACATCTCCGCCATTTAGCACCTCCTCCGCGAGCAGCAATACTTACGCCCAAAGCAGTCAGCCAACAAGCACACCATCTGCCTCGACGCAGACATATCCACCGAATAGCGGTCCGCCACCAACATCGCAGGGCGGAAGCTATGCACCCCCGGTGCCACCGACACCCTCTGGATATCCTGTTCATCAAACACCACATCCGACGTCGCATCCCCCGCATCCACCGCCACCGCACACTCAGTCACCACATCAACCACCGCACACTCCGCATCAACCACCTCATCAACCAACTCATCAGTCATCCCATCAACCACCGCATCAATCACCGCATCAGCCACCGCAACAATCTCAGCAACAGTCGCAAACAGCTCCGCAGACGCAACAGCAACCATCTCAGAGTCCAGCTCCGAGTGGATTTCAACCTCCATCTGGTCCACCACAAGGTCCTGCTCCACCACCAGGCCCTCAACAACAACCTGCCTATGGGCCGACTACTACGCAGACATATGTTCCACCAACTCCAGGAGGACAACCACAGGTATTGTTCGAGTATGATTATATTGACATAGATAATTAGTTTTGAATTTATTGTTTCATGGCAATTGTATTTTTTGTGTGTGTGTGTGTGTGTGTGTGTGTGTGTGTGTGTGTGTGTGGAATTTTATAATTTTTATAATCTTATACAATTTTTTATGTAGAATAAGAACACTTTATCTTTTCTGTCCTAAATTATTTGTGTTTGAAATATCTATGAAAAATTGTAATACATGTGGAAGAAGATAAAACATATAAATTTACTACTAACTATTGAAAATTATTGAGAGCATTCTGAATTGCAGATTTATAGTCCTCATCCGCCACAAGGGGGACAACACTATGGGCATCCTCAATATCCTCCTCAAAGTTATCCTCCACCGCCTGCAGGACAAGGATATCCACAATATCCACCACGACCACCTGGTGGCCACATGCCTCCTCCACCTGGACCACAAGGACCTCCTCCACCTAATCAATATGGAGGTTACGGTTATCAGCCACCCACACAATAAATACATCAATAACTCCCAAACTTACATAAAATTTGGATTATTACGGATATTGAAAATATTTTTGTTTACATTTTTAGTTACTTTACTGTACGAATACATACTTTCATAATGTAAATCACAATATTTATTTAGATATTATGAATATTTATATTATATAATATTCATAATATTTAAATATTTTGATTATATGAACATTTTAGAAGATTCAACAAAGAATGAGATTAGAATTTTAAAAAAATTATGTAAAGAATTTAATTTAATTTAGTCTTATGCATTAGATTGATAATAAGACAAAATTTAGGACAAAATTATATATAAATTATAGATGATGTTCCATGAAAGGACTACTAGTTGGATCTACATTGTTTACAATTCTTTTGATAATCTTCAGTATTTATATGCATATATTTTTCCATATGATGATATAAATAATTTATGTATAATTTTGTTTTATGTTCATATATATATACTACATCAGAGTAGTAAATTTTATTATTATTATCATTATTATTATTATTAGATATAGATCTCGATGAAATAAATATGCCAAAATATTCGAAATGGCTTTTAACTCTTGTGGCGAAACTTCTAATACGAAAAGCATAAATTATATTATATAAGAACACTATTAGGTTTTTGTATAATTTGTTTTATTTTTACAAATTAGAAAATAGTATAGATATTTGTCACAGATTTATTTTATTACATTTCTTCATTAAATTTTTTATATTTACTTTTGCTATTTTGTTTACATTAAAGATGATAAAAATTCTATTTTTATCACAAATATATATGTAATTTTTTATTAAACATAAACAAATTGAAAGTCAAAGAATTATGTAACTATATATGCAATGGTACAAATACCATATAGGAGTATATATGAATGTTTATTCTTTATTTATATTTAAGTACTGCTCTTAATTGATAAGGAAGTATTTAATTTCCGAAATGAATATGAATATAAATTTTCCATATTAAATATTATTTGCAGTAGAATTCGCGATACAATTGAAGAGAGAATATCACAAATCTCGCCACGCCTTGTATTTATCCCATAAATATTTTTCGAAAAAGATGTTGATAATTGTACAAATGACGTATCTTATTCAAATTCTTGCGACATAACATTAGATTAAATAAACAAAAAATATATTAAATGCTATATATAGAAAAATAGCTGACAGGTTGTATAATACAAGCATTGTAAAAGAGAAGATTATTAAATATTAGACAACTATCTTGTTTTTTCAAGTTCAGGCTTATGTTTCTTTTTATTTTTGACATAAGCAATTAGCTATAAAATCTTAGTAAACAGATTGTGCATTTTTGAGCACCTATAATAGATGATACATGTATGGTAATGTGAATCTGTTAAATTTTCATTATATAAATAAATCATAGAAAAAAATGATGTTAAAAAAAGATGTTCAAAACTACAATTCCTCTCGAAGGTTCGAATTCTTAAAATGACACTGACAAGAATGACTAGGTTGTGGTACTTCTTCCATGTTATTTAATACTTCAACTTTACTCTTTAAGCGTTTACTCCATTCCTGAAATATAAAAAAATGTATTATTTGACAAAGATATATACCCAAGAAAAATATATAAAATAAAACTTTTTCCCATACATGAAATAAAACTGTATAGTAACATAATATATCACGTGGTAATAAATTATCCCTGGTAAATTGTCTGGCAGATTTAACAATTCTCACTCCATCCTCATCATGTTCCTTTGCCCACAGAATCTTTTCGACAAGGTCCGATAGATCGCTTTTCACAGGTACATAATGTAATCCAGATGTAAGATCTTTATAAAAAAATTCATAATACTTGGATTCTTGTTTAAACACCAAAGAATCTCCAGCAAGTAAATATGGGAATCGATAAGCTGCTACTGTGCCATCAATGTTCAACTGATATTTGTACTATGAAAAAAAAAATCAATATAAAAAAACTGCCAATATAAATAAAATTTTATTTTTTCCTAATAAACGTTACTTAATGTTACATATTATCTATATTTTGTAAAGCTTGTATGTAGCAATTTCAAAATTAATGTATCTTGAAGAACAAAAAAAAAATTCGATGATATAGAATGTGATTCAAATTTTATGGATAGGCTTTGTGTTTATATCAGATGACACGAGATTGGGATAATGTAATTACAATATTTCTAAAAGTATATGTAACTTCGAAAATGTTTATTAAACTTGTTTTATTGTTACTTCTATTTATTTACAGGAAGACTTTTATATTTACCTTAAAAAAATTAAAAAATGACACATGATTTTGTGCAGGTCCGTATTTATCTATTTCGTCCCTAAAGAAGAAGAAATTAGTAATGGATACATTGAAGAGTTCTGGATGTTTTCTTGAAATATCTATTAAGTCAAGGCGTTCCCTTCTGGCATCACGTCCACGCCAAAATAATTGCTCAGTCTTATATTCCCATGGCAGTCCATTACCTTGTACGGAGAGTGTGTCTAACATTACCCTGTTTTTTAGGCATATCATTGCAAATAAAACAATAACTTAAATTATTAGCATTATTGAAACATGTTATACCTTCCCATCGCTTCCAGAGATGATTCTGTAATGTCATATGTAGGCATAACAATATCTTTCGTACTTTCAGATCCGCACCATGAAAAAATAGGATAAAGCGGTCCCGAATCAGGAACAAGTGGCCAGTCGCCCAAATTTACGAAGAATTCAATATCTGGCAGCATCACTTTGCGTGTGAGTGATAGCAATATAGCATCCATAAATATTTTAAAGCCAACATACTGGCCATAACATTGTCTGTAAATCTAGTTTAATCTAGAGTCAACATTTATGAACAATCATAAATTATAAATCGACATAAAATGATATTTACTCTGTTAGATTTCAATACATAATGACAAATGCTGACACTGGTTGGTCGATCATATCTTTTGATAATGCTTTGACGTATTTTATCAAAGTCAATATTTGAAAATGGAGACAAATCACGATGTATTTGAGTGTAATTTTGTTGACACTGATAATGATCCAACCAGTTAGTGATTGATGGATTCGGACAGTAACATTCTTCCTCATAAACAGGACCTAAAGATAGTTTTTGTCAGATTATATAAAATTCTAAGATAAACAAAGATACTTATACCTTTGATCTCTGAATGGGATACTAGTAACTCTTTTCCTTTGATTTTTACTTTAATTTTAACATTAAAACAGGTATTAAAAACTTTGTAGCGCATAATAAAACTTCCATCTTTGCAGTCAAAGATTTGAGTCCATATGCGGCATGATGCACCATTAATTGATTGTCCATATACTTGCCCAGCGATTATATTCTCACCAGGAGATTTTGTTAAACTAGAAATATATAATATAATATAATATAACACTATCCTACACATTATACATTAAATAACTCTTATAGAATAGATATTATTGCAGATATATTTATAATTTGCCTTCAGAAGCTGAAATCATTTCAGCTAATTAATCTCTATTCAGCTTTATATATGTGTATAT